CAGTCGACAAATTGCAAACCAAACTTTTTTTTGCACAGCCAAATCGAGTTAGGAGAAGCACAGACAAAGATATCCATCATCCTTCGATAGATTAACCTTCGCCAAGAAAGTCTGACCAACATCGATCAGCACCACCTCCAGATCCTCCTATCACCATCACCATCCGCACCATAAAGTTGCGGCACTCGATCAATCTGTCACCTTCGGAATCGTTTTAGTCGAATGCTACATGAAGGAGATCCGGGCGCAGTGCAAGCCATGAAGGAGATGAGAAATTGGATTAGATTAGAAGCGGCGACTATTGACGGGTATGAATGCATGATTTACAGAAGAAACGATAGTAGCTTAGGGTGTTTTCCGAGAATTTACATGACGGGATGGGGAGGCGATCAATGATTCTTTGATGGTAATCTGGTGGCTGGGCTGCGTGATTGCACCATGCGGGAATGGGTCAATTGCACCTAATATTTCCCCATCTATCACCGCCCGCCTTCTATTTTGCCCCCTTTATATGGATGGGTAGCTTGGTCATTAATGTTGTGCTAACGTTTATCGGCGGTAAAGAACAACACACAAAAGTAGACAAGAGGCAAGACACAATGTAGGGTGGAGCCTTCTCTTTATTATTCTGAATAAACTGGTGATTACAATACTTAGGGTGCTCTACTATTTATACTCGGGGAAGAGGTCCTCTTTCCGTCTAAGATAGGAACTCGTTTGTTAAATTACCTATATATTGGACTAGGAGTCGGATAGGTTCTTCCATAACTTTCTTTCTTAGTCCAACTAGAGTTATTAGCATAACACTCCCTTTTGGGCATTTTACGACGGCACCCATATCTCATTAAAAACTCCTTCATAAAAATTCAGTGGGAAAAATAGAGAAAAGAGTACATAGTACCGTTACTTATATTGCATAATATTGCTTCCTCAAAACCTTGCAAGAGCGTCCTTCAAGCGACAACTCATATAGAAAAAAGAGTACAAATATTAATGCAAACTATATTTGCACATGTTGCCTCGTTAAAAACCTTATGTGAGAAACCTTCAAGTAAAAACTCACAAAGGGAAAAAAGAGTACAACATTAAAAATTCTTGGTTATTATCTTTAAGATAGCGATCTTCTTGATCATAAACAATTAAGTGATGTATTTAATGATTATTTCAAATAATCTATATGTGCTCCCCCTCATGACGACATCCTTTAAACTTCTGAGTTTAATATGCCTTAGTCACATTTTGCCTAAATATGCAAAAGCAAATGGTAACTTAATACCACAATGCTAAGTCATTCATAGACCTTTCTCATAGTTCTTCTGTCTACTATGATGAGAGTAGTGGAGCAACATGCTTCATTCATAAATAATTGATTCGATCAAGTAATCACTTATTTACTAAGCTGTGCAATACAAACTAAGTATTATCCTTGCAGAGAATTAATCATTTCTGAGGATTATTGGGGTATACTTCTCAAATGATCTGCATCTGTAGCCTATCAAGGTTCAAGACAAGATTTTGATCATTGTTATTCTTCAATTATTCATCTTCAGGATTACAACAATATGATATGTTCACTAGAACATTCATCAACCAATCTTAATTCTAAATCAGGGGATATTCACACCAATACTCAATTACCTTCTGTGGTAATTTAGGAAATCATCATTCTTAGCTAACTTGTACTTTCTGAGTACTCATACTATTAAGGTATTATGATTCTTTATTCATATAGTCGGGTCTATAATCACTTCTGGGATAGATGGTGTTTATTCAAGATTCGATTGGTAAGTCATTCTATGACTCATTCCTTTAAGGATATTTTTTAAGATATTGTTCTCTTCTGTGAGATACATCCACTCTTCTACAAGAGGCTCTATAAGAGACTTATGTCATTCTTTCGAGAAGACATTGTATGTCGCGGTAATTCTCTTCAGGAATTATTCATTATCCTGCAAGGATTTTTGTCATTAGGATTTCCAGAATCCATTGACTAACTGCATATTCTTTTATTCTTCATATTTTGCCAAATATGCAGCAGAACTTCATTCATGGTATGAAAATATCAGTCTTTTCTAAGACTTATGAACCATATTCTTTCACCACTTTACGGTTCATATCCTCAATTGCATTCTTTATAAACCCGATAGTAATGCTTACAGGCGTCAATTGCCATGGACTTTGTTGCCGAATTCGGGTTCTCTCTTCCATTAGAGAAACAATCGCAATTCATGAGGAGGTGTTGTACAACTTTTCTTCTATTCTCATATTCTTCTATTGTTCCGCATTCCCAACACTTCTATGTGTACAATGGTGTTTGGTTCTCATCTTCATGGTGATGATCTCTCTTCATGAGATTCTTGATCCTTCTTCGTGAAGTATTCTCTTCAAGAGGTGGAGGAGTTTCGTAATAATTCAAATGATAAGTGTCCATTGATTTGGAATCCAAAGGCGTCCCAATAGATTTTATATCAATGGCAAACAAGTCGACTAGTGATATAAGCACAAGCGTCCTCGTGATATATCACACGGGCTATTCGGTTAACTTCTAGTTAATAACTTCTTGTTACTCCTCTCTTCAAGATTCTTCTTGGCATTACACTTTATGAGTATATATAATGCGCGATTCCATTCATGTTTCAAGCTTTTAAGGAATGATAATGTATGGCATTCAATTCTGGGTTCATTCTCCCCCTAGTGCTGACATTATAGCATACAATCTCTAGTGATATCCCCTGTCGTAGGCATTCCGTTGACATAATATACAGGTTATATCACCAAACTTCAAGTGGGAATCCATTCATGTATGCAAAGATGGTGAAAATATTTGCTAAATATTCGCGCATTTATGATAATATATGCAGTGAGCTAGACATGCTCTCAATTCAGGATGGAGCAATTCTATCATGTCGGAAAAACAATGATAACGTCTAGTTTCTTTTTCATCGCTACAAAATTGGATTTAATTGAATAAACCATAAATTTCAAAAACACTCTAAGGTAAAGAAACTGCTTGTTTCAAAATGTTAAAACATGCAAGGAAGTTTCTTCTAGAATGTCTGATTGTCATACTAGACTTGCAGGTCTATTCTGTAAACAGTTCAAATAGCCAATTTTAATTCCGTGTACTCACATTGTTGAGTATATCCCATATTAGACCACTTCATTCCCCTTAATCCCAATCTTTTTGATATGAGAAAGGCTGACAATTTTCAATTGTCTATGTGCATTCAGTGCACACTTCGTGATACAACATAGAGGTGAACAAGCCTTTTGTTGCATAAAAAGAGTGTAGTTGTCAACTCAATAGAGTGTAACATTCAATATGGTATGCAAATCATTAGTATGGGATAGCGCAAATGGTAACAAACCATAGTGCAGGCGCAATAGTGGAAGATAGATATAGAAACTATGCAAGGTTAGTAATTGTTAAGTTTAGTGGCGTGCAAGCCAACACATTAGTGTAGATTATGGCGTGCAAGCTAACATTTTAGTGCAGATTGTGTTTTCTTCTTGAAATTCATACACAATTCAAATGATAAATTAATTCCATAGGCTATGTTTCAAGCAACATGTTTATATGCAATGGTTAACCCAATCATACAGGATTAGATCATATCTATTAGATTTCTAGTATATCCACATATTTCTTATGCCATCATCAATCAAAATCCTCCTCTTTTTCACACCATTACTAAACTTCAAGTTCATTTTGAATGCTTATTGCATTCTCTACCACACAGTGCAATGTATTATAGACTGCAATTATACTACTTGTATAATAGTAATTGGTATGAAAACTCACATATGTACCGTTCATGTACACAATATTCTAAAAAATAATGTGAGTAGGGTAGATAGGATACAAACTTCAAGTTTATTGTATTCGGTACAATATGAAGGATCACACTATTGCAAGGCAAAACTGATCTTCAAAATCAATTATAATGCCAGTATTTTCCATTGTACCTTCTTGCATTAGTTGATGTGCTTTTTTCCATTCCACCTACTTGGTAGTATTGCATAAGGAACTTATGCAATAACCTACAAGGTTATATGTGACTTCATGGTAGACAAATATCATTGCAAATGGTTAATACTAATAGACTTGGCAAATCAATATGTTCAGCATATGTTCCATATATTCCAAGCAATTTTAACTAATATACTTCAGGTAAACCGAAATGGCAAGAAAAACCTAGCCAAAACCAAGCTACATATAGACTTCATGCTATATCATAGATAACGAACAAATTCAATTGCAACCGAGAAAATTATATGCATGCTTCTGGCTTAAGCTTCAAGCTAATATCTCTTCAGGATAAATTTAAATGCTCACTCTTCTAAAAGTGTACATGATCCATCTAATTCTTTCAAGAATTATTAGCGTGATGTAGCACCATATCATAACTACTACTAGATAGTTCCATTCAACTTTGGAAGACTATGCTGAGTCCCCATATGCACATATTCAATTTCATCACTAAAATGATCATCCTCATGCAAGGGACTGTCAAGAGCTATATTTTTCAGAATTAATGCTCAATCCTTCAGGTGGTGTTTGGATGGCCTTGGGTTAGGGATAGGGAAATGGAATTGGAAATGATAGGGTGGGTTGGGGTTAAGGATATGAGGTCATTTTCCGTTCCCATATTTCGCTGACATGGGTTTCACTACAAGAAATGTGGAGATCTATGACGTTTGTTAGGTGACGGTTCACTGGTGCGTCACAGAATGAACATATCTATGACGAAATCTTAAATTTCGTCATGGATCACCAGTGGGCCCCATAGGGAACATAATCAGGCGACATATCTATGACGCCAATGTCATGTCCGTCATGAATTGAAACCAGAAATCGTCACGGATTGGTTTGAACCACCATGACGCTTTCGTTTCGTCACCGTTTAGGCTGCCCCCTGCATGGGACCCAGAAGTCAGCAGCGGGTCCCACATGTCAGCTTATGTCCCTTGAGCGGAGGTCTGAGTAAAAAAAACTTGGGCGCGACGCGGGTATCGAACCCGCGACCTCAGTGATGTGCCTTGCGCTCCTTACCACTGCGCTGTGTTGCCTGAAGTGATGACATGGGGATTGGATTTTATTAGTTCTATTGTATTTGAGGTTAGTCTACTCCGAAATTCGAAGTACAGACGAGATCCAGAATTGGTCAAAATCTGAACCACGGCGCCGATGGTCAGGCGGCGCTAGCTGGCGTCGCCGACGGTGATTGAATCCGTGCCGCCGCCCGCAAACTAAATCCAGCATCGCCACCACCTTAGCACGCCACCCAGATTCGCCGGCACCTAAGCTCCCCGCCGGAAGTCGCTGCACTCATTTCTGCTGCGCCACCACCTGATATTCCCGGTGAGAAAGGATTGAGCAGCATCTTGCAGCGGTGACTGCGCCTCCTCCTCGTGCATTGCCGGCGACGCCCGTGCTCCGCCACAGTGACTGGTCCCCATCAGTCAACACCGGCCTGCAGAGGTTTGCTTTTGCTCTCATCCCTTGTACTTTGATATAGGAACATGATGTGCAGATTTGTTGATTTTTATGTTTGTGCAATGCTTGAACAGATGGTTAGAACATGGATTCATGGTAGATTGTTTACTCCTGAATACATTAATGGTGTGAAAGAATTTATGGGCTTTATCAAAGGGAAATTCAGTGAAGATGACAAAATACTATGCCCATGTAGTAGATGCCTTAATCAGAAGTACCAGCATCAAGCCATTGTGGAGAAGCACATATTGATGAATGGAATGGATAGTACTTATACTCATTGGGTACACCATGGAGAGGATTATGATGAAGCTGAAAATGAGAATTCAGGTCATGTGCCTGACGATGGTTTCATAGATGGGACAAGTGTGACTGAAGATGGCAATACTGATCGGTTTGAAGGATTGCTAGGAGACCTACACATGGCTGAAGAGGTAGGTAATTTGGATGGTGCAAATGAAGATGGAAACAATGATGCAGACCCGCATGGAAATGAGTCATTTTTCGCAGATGTGATGAAAGAGGCGAAGCGTCAGCTTTATCCAGGATGTACAAAATTTTCTAAGTTCTCTTTCGTGGTAAAGCTACTCCATATGAAATCATTTTATAGGATCAGCAATACTGGATTTACTGCTATGCTTAAGTTATTGGCTGATGCATTCCCTGATTGCAACACAGTTCCAAAATCATATAGTGATGCAAAGAATCTACTAAAGGTTTTAGGTCTTGGGTATGATTCAATACATGTGTGCCCAAACAATTGTGTTCTTTTCAGAAAGCAATATGCAAAGCTTCACAATTGCCCTGTTTGTGGTATGTCAAGATGGAAGGACCCTGAAAGGAAAAAGGTTCCACAGAAAGTGCTGCGGCATTTTCCACTAGTACCTAGGCTACAAAGGATGTTTGTTTCGAAAGAAGCATCAAAAGAAGCACAATGGCACAAACTAAAGCGAAAGCCCAAAGAAAAGGAAATGAGCCATCCAGCCGATGGCGAGGCGTGGGAAGCTTTTGATAGGGACTATCCAGAGTTTGCTGATGATGGCAGAAACATTAGGCTTGGGCTTGCTACAGATGGGTTTAATCCTTTTGGCAATATGAACACCAAATATAGCATGTGGCCTGTTGTTGTTGTCCCATACAACCTTCCGCCATGGGCATGCATGGAAGAGTCAAATTTCATGATGGCATTGTTGATTCCAGGTCCTTCAGCACCAGGGAAGGATTTTGATGTTTTCCTTGAGCCTCTTGTAGAAGATTTACTTGAGCTATGGAAGGGAGTGCGAACCTATGATGCCGATACTGGTAAGATGTTTAATCTTCGTGCCGCGGTACTCTGGTGCATTCATGATTACCCAGCTTTGAGCACACTTTCGGGGCGTACAACACGAGGATATTTTGCATGTGTTCATTGTGACAAGAACCCTTTGTCATATGCCCTAAGGAGCAAAATTGGGTATATTGGGCATTATCGTTTCCTACCAATGGGACATGGATTGAGGAGAAACAATGAGTATGTTGGTCTCCATGATAGCGATGATCAACCTAGTAAATTTTCTAAAGAGGAGCTGCAACTAGAATTGGAGAAGGTTAGGCATGTAAGACCTGGGAAGCAGCTAGGGAAGCCGTGGAAGCTAAAGAAGAGCTCATCAGGCAGAAACAAGCCATTGAAGGCCAGGTGGTGATGTACAAGCGCGAGGCCGAAGAGAAGAAAAGGGCCTGGTTCGTCGCCATGGGTGTTCTCTTGGTTCAGGCCTTCTGCATTTACTTCAAAAACAAGTGAAGAAATGGTGTTGTAATTAGTAGTTAATTAGTGGATGATGTCCTGGTTAATGGTTATAATGCTTCTGGTACTCTGGAATGTGCAATGTTAAGTCATGTTGGTTCTTTAATCTTTTTCTTTTGGCAATGTTATGAATCTGAGATCAGTATATTTGTTTCACCACTTTCATTTCAGTATGATTCATATGCTGGTACCTGCTGACATTAGCTAGCTTCAATTAAAGTACATGGTGCAAAGCACATTAGACATAATACATTCCACTACACTACATGGCATATATTCACTGGCCAACATTACTTGACCAAGAGCAGTAGGACAGCTAGGAGTACAAGCACACAAACTACAACATTGCTGAGAACTACAAGCTGGCCAATATTGATCATCTTCGACATCTTCGCGTCGACATCGTAGCCAACTGTATTCAGAGCAGTAACTTGAAGTTCTGGACTCTGTCCCTGCAATTTATTCATGCTACTTGCAACTGCATACACATCATGCCTGTAATTTGCAACAGGTCCAACAACACCACGAGTCTGTAGCATCAGTAGATACTTGTCTGCAAATTTGAAAAACCTGCAAGTTCCAGGCACCTGCAAATATGAATCAGCGTCAGCAAATTGGCCTGAAACAGAACAATCAAATTAACAAACTGATCAACGAATTACGTGTTCCTCATTCTGGCAGCACTTGAAGAAGATCTTGCCCGGGTTCCTTGGTGTCCCGGACACCAGCTCGATTACTTCGTCGCCGCAGTTAGGGCAGAGCACGAGCGGGTACCCCGAACGGGCCCCAACCTTGCCGGTGGCTTTGAGCGGAGCAGGTGGGCAGCGACTGCCTGAGGAGCTTGCCTGCGACATCCCGGACACGGCGGGGAACGGTCGGGCTGCGGGGAAGGTTGGGGCTGCAGGGAAGGGTGGTGCCGGCGGGGAAGATTTGCGCTGGCGGGGATGGGTGGTTCCGGCCAAAGGGCGAGTGGAGGGCCTGCCGGAATGCCTACCGGGCGTCGCCGACGGCGGCCAAAACCGGCAGATCTGAGCTCGTTTTGGGGGACAGCAGCTCGATCCGAATGGATAACGTGTGGCGCCAGGGACAATGACAGGTGGGCCACAGCGAGCAATTGAGTTCGTTTTGGCAAAGTTGTACAAAAAATTTTGAACAATCTTCGTGCAAATAATCCAAATTAACTTGAATAATTCTTCATCAAATATACCACCTAACATGTTAACAAATTCAATACTAAAAGACCACCAAATTATGATTGATTGTTGATATGGCCATCTCGATTAATGAACACATAGGCAATTTGATCAACTTCCAATCATACAAACATTGAAGGTCACATAACATGGCATCTCTACCACATGATTAGCTATGTAGGCACTCCTCAATTAGAACTTTGACTTTCATGCCACAATTCCTTTTTGAATTTGTAATAAGGAGTCTCATATAAATAATCCCCATCTTAACATGACTTTCTTATTAGTTCACATATAAATGAGAGTCTCATCATATACATAAGTGATCCCCATCTTAACATGACAACTTCATTCATAGTTATATATCTCAACATGACAACTTAATTCATAGTTATATATGTCAACAACACATAACACATGTATTAGACAAGACATGCTAATCAACAACACATAACATGGTATATGAAACTATGCTCTACGAACAATTAGTTCACAACTTTGCCATAACCATTATTAATTATCCTTCACAACTTGCTCTACTGCCTTAGAGCCATTTTTAGGAAAAAAAATACACCACCTAACTAATTTGTGCTCTTTTTCCAAGCTTTTTAGTCATTTACCGTGTACAAAATATCAATTTTGTGAAGCCAGCCTCTAGAAGGTTCCAACTGTACACAGCTGGTGAAAAAAAGGGCGCGCTCCAGCCCCTGTATTCGGCCCCGCGCCACTTTTCCGCGCGCCCGTCCCGTTTTTCGCTCTCCTATTTTACCACAGTGCCCTTCAATGTTCCCAAATATTCAGCCACCACCGCATTTAGGCCGGCCAACACTACAAGGGCAGCTGAGTAATTGGTCACACCAAAGAGCAATATCCACCACACCGAGCCCGCGAGTCCCCCAAAAACCAAACTCTCAATCCCTAGGTTTCGTCTGCCTCCCTCTCGCCGCCGCCCTTCTCCACCACCGCAGCCCCCCTCTACACCACCGCAGCCACTCACCTCTCCATCACCGCCTTCATTGTCTGGAACCGGCTTCGGCGAGCAGCAGCACCGAGGACGTCTTCCAACTCCGCGCGATGCCATCCAAAGATGGAGCACAGCAGCAAGGTATGCTCCTCCCAGCCACGGACAACTTCTTTATGCTTAAAACTGCTGAAAAGTCTCCTGCACGAGGTTTATTTTGATGAAATATGCTTGCTTGCCTGAAATTGAATCAAATATGCTTGCTTGTCCTGCACGAGCAGAGCAACAAGGTATGCTTGCTTGCCTGAAATTTCAATACTGAGCATCTTGTCATTGTCTATTTAAGGACAACACTTGTATCTTGTGCTAAGCATTTGTGCAAATTTCTTTGGATGTGCTTCTGCTAGCGAGCATCTTGTCAATTTCTATTTAATCGGCAACGTATCTATGTTTTGCTAAGTATTTGTGCAAAATTAGTTGGATGTTCTTATCTGCTACTGAACATCTTGTCATTTTCTATTTAAATACAACACTTGTATCATGTGCTAATCGTTTTTGCAAATTTAGTTGTGACGGATACCCAAATCAGGGTATCCTGATCTAGGATACTTAATTCTGCTAACCGTCTCAGCTTA